CTCTCAATTGCCCCTTAATTCCATCCATAAAGTGTGATTGGGATTACTCTTCTATAGTCGAGCTAAAAGATGCTTAACTTGACTAAGCTAGAAAGGTTGTTCACCCATAGAATCTACTCAGTTACGAAATGTTTCGTCAACTGCCCAGAACGTCAATCCACTAATCTGTTATAATTGACACGACCTCAATCGTAGGACACATGGCATGCCCCTATTGGCCCCATACCCCTGGTACAGTCGTTACACACCACCAAAATTTGAACTGACTGCACCATTTTACATTTCCTATATATGTAATGCCTATTCTCGAACGTCTTCCGCTGTTCATCTTCTTCAAGCAAATAACCTCAAGAACCAGAGCTGTAATCTAGCGATTTGGCTTTTTGCCCTCAGATTCAAGCACACCTAACACTATGGTGGATACGCAATCACTTGCAAATATACTTCTACCGATTAAACTCTGGTTCAAGCTCTCTAATCAGTAAGTTTTTTAAGCTCCCCTTCCTATCTTCATAGATATTCACGATGTTCTTCATTTTTCTGGCCTTTTTATGCTGTTAATCCACCATATTGACTTGCAAATAACTTTTTTGTATATTAATCCATTAAAACGTGCCTAAGGCGAGCTTAGGATAGAACTAGGACCCCTGTAAAACTGTAAAGATGCCACACCTTAGGATGAACTCCCACTGACTGGAACTAAAACCAGTCAAGAGTAGTGATTGTGATATGAAAAATCGTTATGATTGAACTAAAATCTTGTTTATACACATTTAAGTGATTACAACTGAGCTAGGAACACTTCATCTGGACTCTGCCAGGCTAAGACCTTGCCCCTAGCCTAAAACGGGCCAAGCCCTCGCCCATTTCCTTGGTTGAGCTAAAACCTTGCTCCGGTGTTGGGCCGATTTGTGACCACTAGCTTGAAGCTGAGTTAAGCGCCACACGCATACACTATTTCTTTAGCCCAGTTAACACTAGAGCATAACACCTTCTATTTGTCGTTTTGTAGACTTAACTAGGTTGTCCAAGCACACCCACACTTCATTACCTGGCGGTGCTGCTCAACCAAGCAACCGAGTCAGAGTCGGGCTACTTGGCCGAGCAAACAATTTGTACTACGGGCAAATACCACTTTATGGTGAGTTCGCCAGGTGCTATAGCCGAATTTAAGAGGGACTACCACATTCTAGACGATGTACAGTTCACCTTAGCCGAACAAGACACTGTATCATACGGCAAATTTGGTTTTTGCCCATTTACCATGCTGTCAATAATTAAAGGCGGATTTTATTTTCCAATCCAGCCGCTAATTTGTGAATTCCTCAGGTAGACCAGGCTCTGCCCAACCCAAGTGTCCACTAACACCTACTGAATTATAAATGGCATATCCGAACTAAACCGCCGTCTCGGTTTAAACTTGGGGTTGACTGAGATATTCCATTAATACTCGCTCGGCCAAAATGATGACGGTTGGGTATACTACCTCAAAGTCAAAAGAGGTTGAGAGAAAATCGTCAAGCGTACACCGGACAAAGACTTACACGACGATGATTTTCTTTAGGTCTTGGGTAATTATGAAGACCAAAAAGCCCAGATACCGAGCTATAACATAAATTTGAATAAAGGCACAGCTGGTATGAATAGCTCGGTCTTTTCTTTGTTTGCACTTTCATTTCTCCCTACCTTGCTAACCCTTGTTCTTTTTTGCATATCTAAATCGGTTGAAGGTGGATTACACTTATGCCAATCAAGACGCTCTTATTGCCGCGCTACACTACCGGCATAGGGACTGAACCGAGCTCCTGAGTTTCGAACCGACTTACTATTACAACGGTAAACAAAAAAGTAAGGTGACCGACTTCCTTTTAGAGTCTTCGCCTAAACCTGACCCCAATCTTCCCCAAATCAAACCTCATCCCTTTTACCGAAGAACAGGAGATGGCTAAGAAAAAAGTTATTCATGCACTCATCACCGAACAAGCCCTCCGCTGAGGTCCCGACCAAACAACGCTTAGCCGAGCAACTATGTGAAACTATTTTCGTTCTCCCAACTACCAGGGCATCCTTTTCTCAGCTGAACAAGATGGCTCGCACTGCATCCACCGATTAACAACGGTCGGTGGATGAGGAAGAGACCGAGCTGCTCGAAATCGAACTAACTGAAGAGGGCCGCCATTTTGGCCGTGCTACTCCCTCATAGTGTGGGCACCAGCCGCAACCTACAAAGGTCGCACTGTGACCATCTCTGATTTCGTCTGCAACGAGAAAGACCATCAGTTAGCCTTCAACATAGTGAAGAGCCTCTGCTTGCTAGCCGATATGGAGCGGCACTAACAACTGACCGAACTGAAGGTAATACAGTCGACTACGAAATCTCTTATTCTAGTAAGTTGGTAATATGTCTGCTTTATTTGATCTTTTTGCTCGGTCATGCTTAACACTGAATTGTGACTTGCAGGCCGTGCAAAAGAACCATGTTGCCCATGAGTACGTACTTAAACTGAGAAAGACTGCCCGAGAGGTTATTGCTGATAGCAAGGCAAAAGAGGCCAAGTTGAAAAAACTTATGGTCAGTCTGGCTGAGCTAAATACTAAGAAATAAAAGCTGGCCGAGCTGGTCTGTAGGGCTAAAACGGACAAACAAAAGGCTCTGGCGAAAAAGAAGGACCACAATCTGCGGGAGCTCGCCAAGCTAGAAAGATCCAAAAATGTCAAAATAAAAGCTCTTGAGAAGAAGATGGATGATGCCAATTACCGAAGTTACGTTATGGGAGAGCAGACCTACATCTAACAATACGAGGTAGCCAAGGATATCTTCTTCAAATACGGCTGGAATGCGGCAACAGAGAAGCTCAGCCAGGCCCCTAACTTTGAGGTCTTCCTCAATCCTCCTTCTCACTTCATTCCAAATTATATGGCGACGTATGCCAACACCGTACAACAGAAGTTCCTGCAGGTGGAGGGGGAGGATAGCCTAGTGCCGAACGATGCTTCTTCATCAGTTAGTGATCTCGGTCATGAAGGTTCATTGCCAGTTCGGTTAGAAGTGATAAGCGAGATTAAGCCAAGCCGAGTCGTCGAAGAAGGCATCATCGATCTGACATTAAAAGGTGGTGCTGGAGTCGAACTGGTGAGTGCTAAAGTTAGTGCAGATGCAGATGCCGAGCTAGATGATTTGTTTACATTGTCGTAATGGAGCTACTCTTGTATTTCTTGTTTTTATAGTTTTTTTTTCCTTTTATTTGTTTTACTTTTTTCATGTAACCGGGCTAGAAGCCCTTCCTTTTGTATTGAACTTCAAAATCAATGAAAATTTTTAACTTTTTGCATGCATGTTGTTCCTTGCTTTGATAATTTAACTTTATGTGCCACGCCGAGCGACCACTCGATGCATACTAACCCTGTCAATCTTCTTTACCCGGGATAACCTTCTCGATTGAAGAATTCCAAAACAATTGGTCTTACCTGCCAACTTTTTATGGCCAAGATATCCATCTCGGTCAAAGAGCTTGAAAAATGCTGGTCAAACTTGCCAACTTACTGTGGCCTAGATAACTATCTCGGTCAAAGAGTCCAAAAAGCGTTGGTCAAACTTGCTAACCTGCTTTGGCCAAGATGACCATCTCGGTTAATGAGTTCAAAAAAGTGTTGGTCAAACTTGCCAACCTACTTTAGCCGAGATAATTATCTCGATCAAAGAGTTCAAAAAGTTAGTCAAACTTGTCAACCTTCTTTGACCGAGATAACCATCTCAGTCAAAGAGTGCAAAAAGTTGGTCAAACTTGCCAACTTACTTTGGCCGAGATAATCATCTTAGTCAAAGAGTTCGAAAAAGTGTTGGTCAAACCTACCAACCTACTTTGATAGAGATAACTTTCTTGCGAAAGAGTTCGAAAATTTGTTGGTAAAACCTGCCAACCTTCTTTGGCCGAGGTAACCATCTCAGTTAAATGTTTACAAAGAGCTAGTCAAACTTGCCAATCCACTTTGCCCCCAGTTGTGCAAAGATTTTATATATACAGACCAAAATAAATACAAGAATTTAAAAAAAATTCAAAAAAAAAACGGTCTACTTGTTTTATTAAATACCAAACAAAAAGATAGGAAGATTACAATTATTAAAAATAAAATATCTTGAGATTAGCCATATTCCATGACCTTGTGATAGCTCAGCCATCTAAATCTTCTAAGTGGTAAGCTCATTTTCTTGCTAATCCCACCACTTTATACAACTCCTCCCAGTTGGGTCCTAATTTGCCACCACCAGGCATCAAAGTGTTTTCCATTACTTTGCGCAGCACCCAATCTCCAATCTTGAATTACCTTAGATGCACCACCTTGTTGTATTTGCTAGATAGTTCTTGCTAATACGAAGCGATATGGATCAGCGTACTTTCTCTTCATTCTTCGGCTAGATCTAACTCCAAGGATATTGCTTCTCCATTCAAATCTGGATCAAAATTTTCGCTTCTAATAGTGGGGAGGCCGACTTCTAGAGGGATCACTGCTTCTATGCCGTAGGCCAAGGCAAAGGGCGTTTCCCCGGTTGATCGTCTAGGTGTAGTTTGGTAAGCCCACAAGACATGGGGAAGTTCCTCAACCCACTTTCCTTTCAATTTTTCTTACCTCTTCTTCAGACCATCTAAGATCACTTTGTTGAATGCTTTGGCCTGGTCGTTGGCTTAGGGGTACGCCGACGTGGAGTTATAGAATTTTATCTTGTGCTCTTCACAAAAACCCTGAAGATTCTACCATTAAATTGGGCGCTGTTGTCAGATATCAAGACCTTGAGAATTCCAAATCGGGTTATGAAATTCTGCCAAACAAACTTCTTAATGTCTTTTTCTTTGATGGATGCAAGTGTCTTTGCCTCCACCTATTTTGTAAAGTAGTCTATTACCGGATGAAAAACTTTCTGTTGCCTAGCGTGGTTAGGAGTGGTCCCATTAGTTCTTCTAAATGCTACCTTAATGGCGTGCAATCTTTAGTTCGATGCCCTACTTCATCATGGAATGTGCACCTATACCGTTCGTCATATCCCTTCTGTGAGCTTCACCCAATTTGGCAGGCTGCTGAACGAAGGGTTCGTCACATATCTCACTCAATATGAGGTAGATGGGCTTCTTGAACACCGTTGTAATAGCGGTGTAAACCCTTAGCCTCCTTGCTTTGGGATCTTTACTACGATTATTTTTCCGCGATCGATCTTTCTTGTCAACCGTGTTAGCTTTTGCCGAAGGCCTTTTGTCCAACATCGCTATTGTGTCAGACTTTGCCTTGGTGCGAGCGCCATCTTTCTTTTCCCTGGATGTGTTAGTGCACTCTTTCCATCAAGGTTTCCATAATAAGAGGTGGAGTCATTGTTATTAAATCCTTCAACTTGTGACCCATTGGCAGATCTCATTTGTACTGTGCAATAGCTAGGTTTGTAGGCAGTTGCCTATTTGGTTGAAGATCTCCCAATATCTGTTGTTGTAGGACTTCAATGTTTCTTTCTCACTCATGTCGATGATGAGTAACTGATCCATCTCAATGGGCATCTTGGTGTTTGTTTTAAAGTTGATGACAAATGCCTCCACAAGTTGTGCCCATGATGCAATGCTACCTTTTGGAAACTTCTCAAACCAAGTCAAGCCCAAATCACCTATGCTTGATGGAAACAAGATGCACATTAGAGTTTAGTTCTGCCGATGTATGGCCATAACTTGGAAAAAGTGGCGAAAGTGCATGTAGGGGTCTGACTTCTCCTCGTAGATTGTGAACTTAGGCTGGTTAAAGCTCAAGAGTAGTGGTGCGTTCTTTATTGCCGGAATGAACAGCAAGCTCTGCAACCTTACCAATGCCTTATCGGCTGGTTCGTAGACAAGGGGCAATATTGGCATTCCAACCTTGACGCTTTCATGTATTCTAGGTACCAGTCGTTATAAAGCCGAGATCCTTTGAGGTTCATGGGCCTGGGCGTTTTCCCTCTTTCGTGCCCCGTCTTCCAGAACAGTTCGCAGATTTACTGATCTAGGCAGCTCAATGCGCTAAGAGGTGGTTTGGTGAGTATGTGAGGGTCGGTAATTACTTTCCTCCATGCAAGACCTTTCAATCCTCATTCTTTCAAACTTGGAGTAACGAGTCTTGGAGGTCCTTGAGCGCATATCGCCTATCTAGAGGCTCCTTCTCTCGGAATATGCAGGCATAGCTTGCCTGTTTCAATCTTCTGAGCAGTAAGAACGCGTTCTTCTTTCGCGGATCTCTACCCCAGCCACACCATTGCCCTTCATCTAACGTTTCATAGCCTTCATATCAGCTGCCATTCTCTTAATTAATTCTTCTTGCTCTCTTATAGGATCCTCCAGAACCTAGGCGTCCATCTTTTTTCGTTGTTCATCTGGGCTTTGAGAGCGACGAGGACTCAAGCCTCGTTTTTCCCGTGTGCACTTATGAGGGTTCCGTCGTTGGAGGTCTAAGTCTTCCATGGACGGAACAAAAGACAAATCCTTGCTCCTCTTGTTCCTCTTTGGCGTTTGTCCATCGATGACAGACGGAGACAAGTCTTCACTGTGTGCCGTTGAAACTAGTTGAAGGAAAACTTAATCAAGAGGTAAGTTCTCTGTAACGTTCCCACAGATGGTGCCAATTGTACAAGTACAAAATAATCTTTCTTGTATAATCATGTTGATCAAGTTTGCACTCCTCCAAACGTCGTCGTCTTATTACCTGAAAAAGCAAATGTGAGCTAGATGGCGGGTGTGTGCCGGAACCCCCTCCAATGCTTAAGTCAGCAAATAGACAATAAATAAAAGGCTCTATGTATTCGAGAGTAAGAATTGCAATACCTTGAAATAGGTGCTGTCATGAGCTTTTATAGGTTGCACGTGGCACAATCCTCCTAGGACTCTAACTCTTCTTAGTAGAGTCCTTTTAGGAATCATTCTCATTACACCCATTATACTACCAAAATTAATCTTAAATTAAAAACTTTTCAAAGCCCTTTCAGTTTGTCTTTTTATACCGATAGCTTTTGGTAATATAATATTAAAGAATTTGAATTACTCTAGTGTTATGTTATTAGGCAAATTAATTTTTTTCCAGCTATTTGTTGTTGTTGGATTGGATGATTTCACTTTACTTTAACAAGAAATTAGTCAACCATTTGTAAAGTGCCTGTTCGGTGATACATTATTATACAAATTAGATTATTCCGCTGTCATGTTGCCGAACTAAGATAAATTTGTCCATCCATTTGTCCCTTTACGTGCGTTGTACATTGTTTTCATTGTTGTCGTATTAAAGACATTCCTTCGTTTCAATGTAATCTATATCTTTTTTGATCGCACCATGTTCTTTGACATGTCAACTAATAATGATGTTTTCTCCTTAAATAATCTACCAGCAAATGAGTTCCCTTGAAGATGTTCAGCAGTCGGATGATTGTACTTGTATTGCTACAACAAATAGAAGCATAATCCTTCCAAGCAAAAAAAAAATATATATATATATATATATAAAATTAAAATTGAAAATACACGGTTATGAGTAACCGAATAAAAACACTCTAAAGCGAGAGAGAGAGAGAGAGAGAATGCGACCTTTGCCTCTGAAACTTCACGAAAGTAATTAAGCAAAATCAGAGAGAGAGAGAGATCTGAAAACCCTAGATCGTGCAAGCAAGAAAGAGAGAGAGAGAGCGAAATTAGTGAAGAAGAAGAAGAAGGGAAGGAAGTGGCGGTGACGATGCCTTCAACACCTTTTTCAACAAAATTGACGCCGAAAAAGCATGTCCCTCGCACTATGTTCGTAGATTTGGAACCTATTGTCACATGAGCTTCTTCTTTCTTCAATCCGACCATCCATGGCGCCGTCAGCAATCCGACATCGACTTTGATCTCATGGCCTCCGTCTCGACCACAGCTCTGCCTCCGAGTGAGGTGGTGTATCATTGTGAAGAGAACAACTCCACCATCGCTCTATCTAGAAGCCCATCAACTTACTATCACGATACAACACCAGTGTCAACGATGATGCGAATGGTGGTGGCAGTGTTGCTCCCTCCTCTTCTATTTCGCTTTATGAATACATTGTCACTACCATCTTCAATCAACGCAACTACTGACCTCCTTCTCTATCGTTGGGTTTGACTTCGAGTTCACTCCTCTTAACAGTAGTCTCTTTAAATCTCCTTGTCACATTGCCCGGGGGGTACTCGTGCAATGTGATTTCTTTGATCTAGTCTCACAAGTGCAATGTAAAACATAGATGAGAGTCCAGATTTGACAACTTTCATAGAAAATCCATTTTATTGCAAAACTAGTGCCATAAATGGATTGCATTACCAGATCTTAAAGTCGCCACCTAATATTTTGGAAAATTAGGAAACCCGTGACTAGTGCCAAGGCCACTGTTCGTCGTAACCAAAAATGTCTCGGTTCGGAACCTTAGGTATAAGAGGGGAAGGTCATTAATTGAGCGCCCCTACTCACCCGATCAAAAGATCAGTCTCTACTAAACCATGATATTAATTTTGTTTACTTTATATGTTCATATTCTAATTTATTTAATAAATCCTAAAATTTACTATGTGAAGCAAACAAATATAGACTATGTCTTTAATTTTAGAACAATTTATTTCATGTATTTTGAAAGAGTTTTGAAGATGTATAACACAAAAAAATTGAGTTTACAAACATGAAAATCAATATTATACCAAATTGAACAACACAACCTCTATCCACCAATACTCATACAGTTATATCAAGTAAGCAAGTAGTCAAATAGTAGGAAGCTAAACATAGTAAGGAAAATATCTACAAGCGAGATGTTAAAGTATAAAAACTTATATATTTATCGATGTCTCGCAAAGAACTACAAAACAAAGTTAGTAAAACATGCATGGTTTTATATACAAAATCCTAATGCAATTTACTCATGAGATGCAAATAAAGATTTGGCTTCTAATATATGATATGTGAATCATCTCAAGAATATAAGGTAACGCACATAATCACATACAAATTGATTAAATTCATAGATGCAAATTTAGCCAAATCAAGATGCATGAAACATGGATGCAAAATATGGATATGATGAAAAAAAAAATATGTGATGTTCATGTACAATAAAGAAAGCAAGTAAAAGAACAGGATAGAAAGAAGCGGCACTTGAATAATTACATATCTAACTATGGGAAGAGAGGAAGAAAATATTACAATAAAATAAAGTCTCACAAATCTATCAAATTATTAAAAAAAAAAAAAAAAATAGAAACTTCACATCAGATTTTTTTTGTTCTAACCTCACGGTTGCGTCCAGAACGATCTTTTTAGTTAGGAACAAGTCTTTCCGTCGGAAAAACAGCCCGAAATTACCTTCTTGGGAGAATATTCTGTCAAGATGTAGAATATTCGGTCAGTGCTAACTGTGATGCTGACATGGCGGGTTTGCTAATGTGGCTAACATGTGGCACTGACTATGACGCTGTCATGGCCGGTTTGCTGACGTGGCTGACATGTAGCGCTGATTGGACTTGCCCAAAAAATGAATTCAATGATACTGGTTTTGAATCCTTGACTTGGGACTTATCATGAACCTTAACCATTCTGCCAAAGTCGCATCTTGTATTGTCTTTCCTCTCAAATAATATTTGAGCATTTTAAACCAGCAAGAAGTAACAAAGGCGCAGACGCCTTACACAATGTTTACGTTTCTTTTTATTTTCCTTTTCTCTTTATTTATTTATTTTTTATTTTTTTATTTCACGATAAATATAATATAATTAATAAATAACATATACATACATTAGAGATTTGCATGGTGGTTTCATCCACCACCGCACCAAAAATATGTATTACAATATATTTAGTAAGCAAATTACATCTCAACCAACTTAAATAACATTTTTATATCACACATTTAAACACATATTCTAAAACAAAATCTAAGGAATAGAGGCTCAGCTTTCCACTTTCACAACTTAAATATCACATATTTAAAATAATAAAGAAAATAAATGAAAATAAATCTAAGGAACAGAGGCGCAGCCCTCCACTTTTCCAATCTAAATATCACATATTTAAAATAGTAAAGAAAATACAAGAAAATAAATGAGAAGATTGCGACAATTCACCTTTGGAGGGTAAATTTTCTAATTAACAAACTTTATTCTTTTACACCCTCACAATTTATAGTGTATGCTTTGAAATTTCAACGAGATGTTTCAAGTTCAAGATTTAATGGAATTTTAGATGGTTGAAAAGGCTCTCTTGCTCTCAAAATAACTTAATGTTTTTCAAAATTAATTTCTCTCTCTCAAGATTTTTGAAATAAAAATTCTCTTAACCAAAATTTTCTTCTCTTTTTTTTTTTTTTTTTTTTTTTTTTTTTTTTTTTTTTTGTTTTCCTCCTCATTTTTGTTTTTTTTCTTCTTCTTCTTCTTCTTCTTCTTCAAACAACAAAATGAGGAATATTTATAGACTTCCAAAACACCCAAAACACATAGCTAGCCATGTGGTATTTTCAAAAACATATGACTTGCAATGTAGTATCTCCAAACCATGTGGCTTGCCATGTGGTATGAGAGCCAAAATTTTAAAACTGCTAAATTTTTCAGACAAGAAAAAATTCAAAAAAATATTTTTGAATAAGTCTAAAACTATTTGGCCAAAATGGATGTAAGGTTGGAATT